TGCAAACTTTTGCAGTTTCACGCCGAAAAGTGCCGTGCCGCAACTGCCCAATTGCGGGTAGAAGTGGTTGAGCAAGAAATTGATATCACCCTGCTCCAAGAGCCATATCTTGTACACGGAAAAGTTAGTGGCCTATCACTTCAATGGGAGTTCGAGTTTGGTCTTCAGCCAGGTAAGTTGTGCTCTGCTCAAGCTCCTGTTATTCTATAGTTTTTTCCTAAGTTTTGTAGTGTTAAGCCTAATATTAGTCCTAGCTAGCTTAGTGTAGTGCTAAAGGATAGCTTAGTAGGGCTAAGTTAGGCTTAGGTTTGCTAAGCCTAACTTTTTTGCTTAGTTTAATTCTAAGTGCTAGTGGTTTTTGGGGACTGCCATATTGGCCTCCCCGGCTAAGAACCAGGTGGATTGTGGTCCAGCAGCCATATTGGATTCGTGTCTGTCTTGTGGATATAGTGTTTGTGTTTATGCCAGTGGATTACATCATGTGTGTCTACAGTTGTGTCATCTTCGTCTGTGTTGTGTTGTGTTGCGTTGTGCCTAGCCATGTACTAAGTGTTGTGTTTGGTGGACACCCTCGTCTGCCTTTAGTTTGTTTGGGGAGACCCACTAAAGAGCAGACCAGTCGTTCCCCAGCCCTTCCAATTGCCCGTGCCGACTGGTGTCAGTGTCAGTGTCGGCACTTTCTACAAGTGGAGAGCCCAGGTAGCATCTACCTGACTCAGCTAGAGTACTTTCTGGCTCTCAGCCAGTGTTCCTCTAGCCAAGCTTTTGCTTGGCAAGCCTAGTCTGGTCAGGACCCTTATAGGCTCATGACACAGCTACCTCTGGTGTCCTCAGACATTTTGTGCTATCCCTCGGACCCTGTTGGGACTTTCAGCACCAAACTTCGGCATTCACCTCCTCCTGGATACCCCTATAGGTGTACTGGAAGACTTTTTCCTCCGAACAATTTTTGACCCACACCCGTGGTTTATGGCAGCTTCCCACCTCATCGGTGTTTTGCAGCTGACATCCGTTTGGACAATTGTTTTTGGTCAACAGTGTGCCTGTGGAATACAAAGAAATTTTGATGCCATTCAACTTTTTAGCGGTGAGTATTGTTTACTCTGTTAAAACTCAACCATTCCTATCTGTTTCTATACTGATACATTGAGTATTTGCTCGGTGTGTCAGTATTGCCTGGGCAGTGTGCCTCACTTAAACACAAAACACAACCTTCTTTTTATATTATATTTGAAAATGATGGACTCATCTACATTGGTACCAAGGGTTACCTTGACCCCCCTGGACGTGGGGCAAGGGAATTGTAGCAAGGAACCCGAACTAGATAATATGGACACAATGGAAAAAACTGAAAACTTTCTTGTTAAAGATGCCAACAGGCTTCCTAGAGTGATTCTGGAGCTCTGTCCAGAACACACTAATACCAACGTCAAACAGAAGGAGCGCATTAAAATTAGAGAAAGCGTGGCAAAATTATTTGTTTACATCCACGAGATGCATGCTATAGTAAAAGAGGTTAGAGGTGCGAGTAACAACCATCAAGTGATCCATCAAGTACAACAGATTGCTCAACAGCCCACTTATAGCGACGTCATCAGACGCAACATAAAACCTAGTGCCACCACAAAGAACATCCAGAAATCCTTAAACCAAAAGATTAACATGGAGGGTACTGGCGGATCTCACGCTGTACTGGTATACCCTAAACCACAGGACGAGGAAGAACCCCCTACCAACATGAAAACAGTTACTAAAAAACTAAAAATGGAAATTAAGCCACATAAACTGAAGATAAAAATTAAAGCTGTAAGAGAAGTAAAAAACAATGGTATCTGTATTAGAGTGGGTGATAAGAAACAAAGCGAGACGCTAGAAAAAGCAATTAAAGAAATACAAGGCCTGCAAAACAAGATAATATGCAAGCATTCAGAGGGGAGAAGACCCCGCATTATTCTCCTGAACATTCCACAATCTGTCCCAGAAGACAAGATCATAGAATATATCTATAACCAAAATAACGTATTGGATAATATCGGAGAAGAAGAGTTTGAAAATGAATGTAAAATAAGCACAATCCTAACTAGAGGCAAACATAACGAAAACTGTAGACACGTAGTCATCTCAGTCACGCCAGCCATCCGCAATATTCTAATTCGTGAAAAACATCTATCTATAAATTGGGCCACTATCAAGGTGGATGACTATGTTCCACTAACGAGGTGTTACCGTTGCTGCGGAGTGGGACATATCACAAAAAACTGCGACAAAGAACAACGCTGTACCCACTGTGGAAAACAACATCAATATTCTGAATGCGACCGTCTGAATGAACCACCGTGCTGCGTAAACTGCCATAACTACAACAAAGGCCAACCAAACTCAAAGAGGCAGCCAACCAACCACGGAGCGCTACACCCAAGCTGCCCAATAACTAAAAAACTAAAGGAAACAGCAATAAAACAAACCAATTATGGCCTATAACACTCCAATTCAGCACACTCAGCCAACCATCTCAACCCAGCTGACATACAACCAGAAAACGGTAAACATTCTCCAGATCAATACCAAAAAGAGCAAGGCTGCATGCTCCCATCTCATTCATATAGCCAACGAAAAGAGCATCGACATCATTTGTATCCAGGAGCCGTACTACATCAACAACAAAATTGTGAGGTTCGGCAGATGGAACGTCCTGTCCGGTAATGGAGACACCAGACCCAAAAGTGGTGTCATCTGCTGCAACCCCAAATTGAACATTGCCAAAATCCCACACCTGTGTACAGACAGACTGACTACAGTAGTTCTACCGCTCTCAGACCCAATCATAATTATCAGTACCTACTTTTCCCCAGAAGACAGGGATGAGGATTGTATAAAAGAACTCTCTGACACTATAAGGAAGATTAATAACAAAAGGATCATGGTCATGGGAGACCTAAATGGAAAATCACCCATCTGGTTTCATGAGAAAGAAGATAATAGGGGGAGATTGATTTCGGACGCCATGAACGAATTCAACCTGATCTCCACCAACATGACCACTCATCCCACTTTTTACACCCCCTACGCTAAGGGATGGACAGACATTTGCCTTGTCACTGACAGCCTCTCTCACCGAATTGTGAACTGCGAGACTCTCCTCTGCCCTTCTGCCAGTGATCACAGGTTTATCCTTACTCAGATCGAACACAACAATCCTACGATAAATGAGCAGAATAACATCTTCCGGACAAAGCAGACAAATTGGACTGCCTTTAGGCAAAAATTCTCCAAAATCTGGCGGAACTACGACTTCCCTCCAATTACAAATCATGAGGAGATAGATAACTACGCCAACTACTTCACGAACGCCTTACAAACGGCAGGTAGGAAGGCCCTTCGATACAAAAATCTACCACCCAGGAAAACCCACTGGTGGGACAACTCTCTTAGTAAAATGAAAAAGGAGGTGGACAAACTAAGAAAAAAATTTACCAGAACTAAAAATATCACTAATAAAGAACACTACAGAAACCACTATAAGGAGGCTCTTAAGAACTACAAAAAGCAGATCAACAAGGCAAGAACCAACTCCTGGAAAAAATTTTGCTCGAAATCTAACAGAAAGGGCCCCTGGGAATTACCTTACCACCTGGTCATGAAAAAACAAAAGAACTCCTTCTTGCCAGACATCATCGACCCAGGTAATAAAAATAACACCACCGACCACATCAACATAGCAGATAATATCAAGAGTATCCTAGAATACCATTTCCCAAAGGACAACAGGGAAGACGAGACAGAAGAACAAAAACGAATTAGAAATAGCATTACAAATACTACTCACAACCCTCACGACAAACTGTTCACCTTCCAGGAAGTTAAAGAGGCCCTCAACAGCATGGCCAACAAAAAATCCCCAGGGGTCGACGAAATCACAGCTGAAATGCTTAAAGAGGCATACAAAGAAATCCCAATCTCCGTCGTACACCTCCTAAATTCATGTCTCATCACAGGCTTCTTTCCCACCAACTGGAAGATAGGCAACATCAAACTGATACCCAAGACTACCAACCCAACAGAGGCAAGTAACTACAGGCCAATCAGCCTTCTGCCCACGATGAGAAAGCTGCTGGATGGCCTGATCATGGATCGTATCAATTGGCACCTTTTTGCAACAAACCAACAAAATAATAACCAATTTGGATTTCGCCCAGGCAAATCCACCATCGACACTGCACTTAACGCCAAGCAGACCATCAATAGTGCCTGGAGCAAAAACCAGCACACAATTTTAATCAGCATCGACTACCACAAGGCCTTTGACCACCTGTGGTGGCCAAGTGTCCTCAAACGTCTCTCTGATATCAACTGTCCAGACAACATTTATCATCTTACTAAGGATTATCTGAACGACAGAAAAATCACATACGTCAGCAATACTTTCAGGATCACCATGGACACCAACAGAGGATGCCCACAGGGCTCAAGAAGCGGCCCTGACTTGTGGAACCTCGTGTTCGACGACCTTTTAAACTCTATTCCTCCTAATCAACACTGTACTCTACAAGCGTTCGCCGATGACCTCCTACTTATGATATCTCATCACAACGTAGACAGATTGGAAGAGATCACTAACCACTACTTAAAGCAAATTTACAAATGGAGTCAAAATAACAAACTACCCATCAATTACGATAAAACTGTGGGCATGGTGTACACTAGGAAAAATAAAAGACTCAGACTTCAAAGGCCTCCCAGAATTTTTATAAGGGAAAAGAAAGTAAAAATACAACAAGACATTAAATACCTGGGCGTTCACTTCGACGACAGGTTAAACTGGCACACTCATGTCCGCAATATTTGCCAACAAATGGACAAAAAGGCTAACCTCAAACTGGATTACGGCGAAGACTTGGGGAATAAACTACATAAACTTGAAACTCATCTACAAGGCGGCAGTAGAGCCAGCCCTGCTATATGCAGTTCAGGTGTGGAGTGAGGCCCTAAACAATGTCCACATGAGGCGCAAGTTGACCTCTGTACAGAGGAAATTCCTCATTAAGATCAATAAGGCCTGTAACACGGCGCCCACAAACACCTTACAAGTCATGGCTAACATCCCACCCATCCATCTCCAGGCTAAACTAAACATCTGGTATTGGTACCTCACCTCAAAAAGTCCCCAAAATAAACCACAACCCTCTGAACATGATGAAATCAATCTGGAACTAATAGTGAACAACACCTCGATTGACAAAAACAACGCAAACTATGGAATTGACAGAAAACTAAAGAAGGACGAGTACTCACACCACCCAGCAGATAAACCGAACTTTAACATTCATTGGGACATTGAAGACATCAGCAAACTGAAAGCCAAATGGAGGATCTACACCGACAGATCGAAGAACATCAACGGCACCGGAGCTGGATTCACAATAAAAAACAGTGACAACAGAACTTCATATCAATCCTACCAGAAGCTTGCTTCTCATTGCTCAATCTCCCAAGCGGAGATGTGGGCGATCCTAAAAGCTCTTCAGTACATCTTAAACAACCTGGACATCTATAAAGGCAACATTTTTATCTTAACTGATAGCAAAATGGCACTGCACAGCTTGTGCAATAACAGCCACCCTACCGTACTCACCAATACTGTGCAGAACACAGCCAGAACATTAAGTGAACTACGTACTCTCAACTTCGCTTGGGTCCCAGCCCACACTGGTGTTGATGGTAATGAGAGGGCGGACTTGTTGGCCAAACTTGGTGCTAACTCCTCCATTCAACCATCATACACCGCCCTTCCTCAAAAGAAGCTTAAAAGCGAACTTATCAACATCATTAACTCCGCCTGGCAAAGAGAATGGAGGACTGCCGATACGGGCAGGAACTGTTTCTCCTTCATTCCTACAATCGATATAAGGAACGCCGCCAGGCACTTTGTGCCAAACAAGTACGTCTCCCAGGTTTTACTCGGCCACGGCAATTTCCCAGCATATCTTCATAGGTTCGGAATCATAAACAATAACAAGTGCTCCTGCACAACGGACTCTATTGCAGATGCTATGCACTTCGCATTTACTTGTCCAAATTATGACGACGACAGGACTGAGCTTCAACACAAATACCTATTGAAGAACTATAGTTGGCCACCAAACCCAACAATTATCTTCCAAAACAAAGAACTCTGGCACACTTTTAAAAACTTTATAATTAAAACGGGTGCCCTTAAAGAGCACACTCAGTCCAACAACTTGGAAGACGAAGACCCCGACGAAATCCAATTGCTCAACGACAACTATGAACAAACCACTACCGAAGAAGACGACACCGAAGAAGATTCCGAGTAAACCAACAATGTAAAACAATTGTATCACGCGCAATATTATTGCGCATTGTATATATGTAAATATATTCCTTTATTTGTAAAAACTTTATTACCTAATGTAATCATTTTCATTATGTTAAAGCGATCAGACGAATCTGCATTGTATATATTTTTATATTTTACTCATGTATTCCCGATTTTGTATTTTATTAGTTGTAATGTATCTATTTGTATTACCTTTTGTAACTTTACGTTTCAATAAATGCCGGTGCAAGACGCCCTCTGATCTCATGCCTTCTATTCAACCTATCCTATCATACTTTCCTTCACACTTCCCATCTCAAGCTGTCTCTTCTTTCCACTTCCAACAGGGCATAAGACTGTACCAAAACGGTCAGCCCTCTAATATCTTTAGTACAATGTCTATCACTTCAATGGAGCGTTTTCGCCCAAGAAGGTGACGAATGTCGCGCCACAGTAATCCTTACGCGGAGAAACGTCGACGCATTCGCTTTCCACGTATCGCCTCTTGTGGTGGCCATTGAATTACGGCTTCCTGGCGGCACCTTGGCTGTGGTCTCCAGTTATCGCCCGCCGTCACTGAAACTGGGGGTCCTTCTGACTGAACTCGAAAGGGTCATCTCGACCCACAGGCGGGTAGTCTTGGCAGGCGACTTTAACGCCAAGCACTCGCTCTGGGGCTCCCCCGTTGACGATCTGGACGGAAACACGATGTAGGAAGCAGCTGAGGGCTGGGGGATGCATATTCTGAACGATCCGTTCGGAATTGCTACCTACTCCTCTCCATCGGGCGAGAGCTGGATTGACCTCACCATCGTGAGTGGGGCTATGCTTAGGCTTATCTCGCAATGGGAGACTATCAACTCAGAAAGCTGTAGTGACCATCGCTTCATTGCCTACCAGGTAATGTGCGACTCGCCGGTATGGCAGAGTAGTTACTACAGACTTACTGTCGGAAACCGCAGTCGATTTGCCAAATGCCTCGCTAACAAGACGGCCGACATAGTCCCACAGGTTTCTAAGGTTGAGAGTGTCGGGGATATGGAGAATGTTGTGGCCACACTCACCGAGGCGGTCAGAGAAGCAGGAGAGTGCACACTCGTGCAACGGAGGCCCAATAACCACCAGTCAGTTCCCTGGTGGAGCCAGGAGCCGAGGAAGCATGTGAGGGCGCTCCGGTGACGCTTTCAACGATGCAGGGACGACAACCTTCGGGCTACCAGGAAACTGGAGTTCCAGAGGGCCAATGCCGAGTACAAGCATAAGATAAACGATGCAAAAAAGACCTCATGGCTCAGTTTCTGTCAACATATTTGTGACGAAAACCCGTTCGGCCTTCCTTATAAACTAGTTTCTGGTAAGCTAAAATGTAGCATGGTCTTGGGATCCATCAAAAAGCCGGATGGAACCCTAACCTCCACACTGGAGGAGTAGATAGAGGTATTGCTCCGCTCGCATTTTCCATGTGATGAGCAATCAGATGATACCGAAGAACAACGGCAGCTTCGAAGTGACGCAGAGTTGCCCATTCTTGAGGCTGAGATGCCCGTGCCGGTGACCGACTCTGAGGTAACCCACATCATCGGTAACCTACGGAAGGGGAAGGCACCTGGCGTTGATGGGATCACGGCCGAAATGGTACAAGTTCTGCATCAGGAACGTCCTAACCTGCTCCGTACTCTGTATCAGAAGTGTCTACTCATGGGTCACTTCCCAGTGCAGTGAAAGCAGGCGCGTCTTGTGTTCATTCACAAAAATAGGCGCCCGAAGAACGAACCTAGGTCCTACAGACCGATCAGCCTTTTGCCAGTCCTGGGGAAGGTTCTCGATAGAATCCTCAGTGACAGAATACTCTACCATTTTAAGCGGAAAGGGCTACTACACCCACAGCAATATGGGTTCCGGCCGGACATGTCGACCTGCAGAGCACTACATCGGGTGGTTAATCTAGTTCGCCAGAACCGCCAGCAGGGCCTCCACACATCGCTCGTTTCGATGGATGTCGCGGGGGCGTTCGACAATGTCTGGTGGCCATCCATACTGGGTGAGTTGCGGAAAGTGAACCTGCCGACCACCCTTGTAACACTTTCCAGGAGTTTCCTGAGTGGACGCACGGTGGTTTACCAGACTCCAAGCAAGAGGTATGAGAGGATACTGGAAAGGGGCTGTCCACAGGGGTCCTGCATCGGACCCCTGCTTTGGAACGTTCTAGCAGACACGGTGCTGCGACTCATCCTCCCAGATTATGTCCAGCTGCAAGCTTATGCAGACAATCTGTTGCTAGTAGTTGCAGGCTACAGCCGCAGCAACATGGAGTGTCGCGGCAACGAAGCAATAGAACAACTCGTTCGCTGGGGGAGTTGCATAAGCTCTTCTTCAGCCCTGAAAAATCAGAGGCCCTGACGGTGGCCCGAACCGGAGTTTTGGCACGCCGGCCAATATACCAAATTAGGGGAAACCCCATCTGAAGGGTGAATGAGTTAAAGTACCTCGGTGTAATCATCGACCAGACGCTATGTTGGACGCCCCACCTGAGGAATGTTCGAGACAGAACAAACCTCGCGATAGCGGCACTATCGAGATTGGCTAGGGAGAACTACGGGCTTAGTGGGAAGGCGCTTTGCACCATCTATAAGATGAGTGTTGAGCGCGTTATCTGCTATGCCTGTGGTATCTGGTGGAAGGACTCTGCCAATGTCAAGCAGAGCAGAACACTTCTCACGATACAGCGACCCGCAGCCCTGCGAATTACAAGGGCTTACAGAACTGTGTCAACGGAGACGGACCTGGTCTTGGCCGGGCTTCTTCCGCTTCCTCTGGTAGTCAGCCAAGAGGCAGCCTTCTACTGGACGACGGTGGAGGGCGTCGAGGCTAAGCATTGTAATCAGATGTACCCGATCAGACTGAGACGTCAAACAGATGTTTTAGGAGTCCATCCAGCCTATAGGATTGGACTGGATTGGGATGCTGGTGAACCGGCGAATGTCGGTATCGAAATATATACTGACGGCTCTAAAGACGGTAGCTTAGTACATGCCGTGTTCTGTGTCTACTACGACAGAGTCCATGCGTACAGTCAGTCAGACAGACTGAGAAGGCGTCTGTGTTCCAGGCAAAACTGGTGGCCCTGGCGAAGGCGTCCCAGTAAATCCTATTACATCCGGGTCCAGAGCCAGTCACAGTTTACTCCGACAGCCAATCGTCGCTTCAGGCTTTGAGTGACAGGTACCATCGCGACCCGCTGGTACATGAAATCGAAAGTAAGGTGCTGAGGGTAAGGCACAAGCGACACGTTGCCCTGCGTTGAGTCCGGGGCCACATCGGGATCCCGGGCAACGAACGTGCTGATCAACTGGCAAAGGCGGGAGCCAGTGGCCCATTTGTGACGAGGAAGGTAGAACCCTCGACTACTTACATTAAAGGTACATTGTTACGGAGATCGATGATACATTGGCAGGAGCGCTGGAATCAATGTACGGTGGGTAGGTCGACCCATGCCTTCGTGCCCAACGTCGGCCGGACTCCAGTGAGTTGTGATTTCAGATTGATGCAAATCTTGACCGGACACGGGAGGTTCCCCCACTTCAAGTCCAAGTTTGAACAAGGAGATGGTAGCTGCCCCTGTGGGTGTCGTCGCGGTGATGCGAGACACTATGTGCTTGACTGTCCTCTCACAGAGGACTTCCACCTAGGGTTGGTTAGTTGGTTAGTTGATTTTTATTGGCACAAAAGCCATGCAGGCTATACTGCGCCACAACACAAGGTATCATTGAGTGTATAAAATAAATAGGAAAACACATATATACAGAACAGTTTAACCATTAAAAAGCCAATGGTAGTATATATATAAAATCTAAAATATAATAAATAAATAAATAAACAACAACAAAAAATATATACATTAATTTAAATATGCACCATGAAGTAAATAAAACTATATAATAAATAAATCATCATATTTCTCTATACATATTAATGACTTTCAGAAAGTCCAGTATATTATCCAGGTTTAGCCTCTGGCCCAAAATGTCTCTAAGGCTTGCATTTCCGAAATGCTGTCTACGACTCTGATCAAAAGCAACACAGTTGCAAAATATGTGTTTAACACTTACAGCACAGTTGCAGTGCTGACATACTGGTTCGTCATCTCCCTTCAAAAGGTATTGATGAGTCAGTCGAGTGTGTCCAATTCTCAAACGAGTAAGGATAACCTCAGATCTCCTATCATATTGCCTATTATGTGTCCAATTTTCTACCAAAGGTTTGATCTCGTGAAGTTTATTGTGGATTTGTGCATTCCACACGTTTTGCCATCTCTCTGCTAGTCGTTTTTTAACGACTAGCTTCAAATCACCTCCTTCAATACGCATTGTATGCTGTGAAGGACTTGCTGACTTAGCAGCTGTATCAGCTTCTTCATTACCTCTTATACCCACGTGGCCTGGGACCCAACAGAACTTCACAAAAAAATTTCTCGTAGTGAGATGACAAATTAGTTTTCGAATTTTAATAACTATGGAGTGAGAACTACGTTCATACGAGATCAAAGCCTGAAGTGCACTAACTGAGTCAGTGTAAATCACGCAGCAACTATGACCTTTCCGATTTATATACTTTAAAGCTAAATAAATAGCCTGCAACTCCGCAGAAAAGATGGAAGAATTCGCTGCTATTTGTTCTGCCACAATTTCATCCTGGCAAACAAAGGCTAAACCAACATAGTTATCCGATTTAGATCCATCGGTGTATATAGGAATTAAATTCCTGTTACGATCCTGAATTTCTGCGAAGAGCTGTCTATAAACGTAGTCTGGCGTGGTTTCTTTAGGGAACTGCTTTAAGCTTAAGTCAACATCGATCGGTGACGTTGACCAAGGTGGTATACTATTAACCTCAACCTGTGAGATGTTGCTTGTGTCTAGGTCAATCGTGCTGCTTACATTCTCCATTCTTATGTTGAATGTAGGGACACAACTTCGGCGAGCTTCAAACAGCCTTTTCAGCTGAGTATCTGGACAATCAGCTGTAAGTTTTTTCAGAGATTTTTTTTAATGTAATAAAAAAGAGACAACTGTTCTCTTCTGAGAAATAGTGAAGGCTCATAAGCATCCACATACAAACTTTGAACAGGGGAAGTTCGAAATGCACCGGTGCACAAACGCAAAGCTTGATGGTGGATTGGATCCAGCATCCGAAGAGTAGATTCTCGCGCAGAGCCATAAACAATGCAACCTTAGTCCAACTTAGAGCGGACAAGAGCCCTATAAATCCTGAGCATTAAACTTTGTCTGCTCCCCAGGATGAGCAGCAAAGTACCTTTAAAAGGTTCAGAGATTTTAAACATCTACTCTTCAAATTGCGCAAGTGTGGCAAAAATGTCAGTTTTTGGTCAAAAGAAACACCCAAAAACTTAGTCTCATTCACCATTGGGATTTTATCCCCATTTAGGTAAATTTCCGGATCCAAATGCAAACCACGCCTTCGACAAAAGTGGATGCACGAGGTCTTCTCCACGTTAAAACTAAAACCATTAGTCTTGGACCAATGGTCTATGCGATTTAGGGAGGTTTGTAGTTGTCTCTCGAAAAAACTCATGTTGCTAGACTGGCAGGAGATCTGAAAGTCATCTACATACAAAGAGTGTTTCACACTAGGGGGAAGACAGTTAGCTATGCTATTAATTTTAATTAGGAACAGAGTCACACTCAAAATAGAGCCTTGAGGAACACCTACTTGTTGCGTGAAAGGCCTGGATAAAGTGTTGCCCATCCTGACTTGGAATCTTCGATTCTCTAAGAAGTTTTTTATAAAAATTGGCAAATTACCCCACAATCCGAAATGGTCCAGATCACAGAGTATCCCATATCGCCAACAGCGATCATAGGCCTTCTCTATATCAAAAAACACAGACACTAAGTGCTGTCGTCTAACAAACGCTTCGCGTATACATGTTTCAAGGTTTACCAAGTTATCAGTGGTACTTCTGTTCCTACGAAAACCACTCTGATGTGGTGAAAAGTATTCATTTTTCTCTAAGAGATACATCAAACGTCTGTTTACCATCCTCTCAAAGAGTTTACACAGGCAACTTGTCAGAGAGATTGGTCTGTAATTTGAGGGATTCTTGTGGTCTTTACCAGGCTTAGGAATGGGAATAATGATAGATAGCCTCCAAGAGTAAGGAAAAGTATGTTCTGTCCATATTCTGTTAAACAGACAAAGCAGATTATAAAGGGAATTGTTTGACAGATTTTTAATCATTCTGTAGTGGATTTTATCCGGACCTACAGCACTATTCCCCAAGCGAGAGATTGCTGGGCTGACCAAGTTAATTGGAATAAGCCCCCTGAACAAGTGCTTCGAACGCTTGCAGCTAGTGAAGGGAACAAAAAGAGACTAAAGGAATTGATGGTTATTGTTACTGATCTAATGGATCAATAGGGACCCTCCTTAGTGAGAAGCCCCCATCGCCCGTTCGTTTGTGCTTCGCACATTTGTGAGCACTCTCCTGTACAGACATACTGTACACCTTGCATGTCTGTTTGAAGCCGGACCTGGGAAGCAATGAAGACGAGGAAAGCGAGGAAAGCAATGAAAATGATGAAGGTCGGCACTCTTTGGACTGCCTAGACTCGAACCAGAGCCCGAGCTATATCCCCGAGCCGGCTTTCTTGTCACGGCGCCTGGTGACTTCTGGGCTACGGACCAACCGATGATTAAGTTATCGTCCCTTTCTCCCTGTAATGCCATTTGGCGGGGCAGGGGCAAGACTACGAGGTAGTTACATGAGGTTCAATATGACCCAACTGTATACGGGTCACGGTAATTTTCGTAGTTACCTTCATAGATTCATAAATAAAACCAAATGGGCTTTGCCCTTGCTCTCAAAATGCTACAGAGGACCCAGAACACATTATATTCTTCTGTCCTAACTACAGAAGACAGCGAAAGGAACTTATTGCAGAAAATGAACTTTGGCCTCGAAAATGAATTTTGAAAATGAAGAAAATGAACTTTGGCCTTGATCTTCACAGAGAACAAGAAGATACATAATGCATTGAAGAAATTCTTACAAGATATAAAAATCTTAGATTAGCATCATATTTAATTTATTAATGTCGGAAAGTCAAATATACTGTAATATACTATAAATAGTTTTGTTAATCAAAATAAATTTTTTTTTGTTCCATTATAAGCTTCATATAAGCAGCATTGCATTAACATTTCTATTGCCGGGACAAATTGGCATGGTGGTCATAGTTCACACACTGCTACCTCTTGATAATATAAAAATTTTATTTTGTAATCTAATGCCAATATTCATTATCAGTAAAACATAATTATATAAATTTGTCCAAAAATAATCAGTTGTAAATAGCAATGCAAAGTAACCGGTTACATTTTTGAAATGTCGAGAAAACTTTTTATTTTGTAAACAATGTACACAATTGTGAATTCCTTATTATTTCCGCACAATATATTATTCTTTTGTACTTTTAATTGTCAAAATATTCATATCGATTTTGGCTATTTGCAAAACATCTGCCATGTAAACTTCTGTAAAAATTTTGTATAAATGCTGGTTTGAATTTAAAATAAATGCAATGCAGATGCTCATAGGCTCCATGGGGGCGCTGGTTCCCTCTTACCTTTCCTATCTACCTGTATTTCGCCTTCGCCCTAATTACTTCGCCAACTTTTCTCCTTCTTTCCATTTTTTTTCATGGGCTATACCTCCAAGTGAGGCCCATCTCTCCTAGCAGTCAGTCTGAAAGAGGTTATGCTAGAAACATACTTAATCCAAGAATCCCTATAGCTTTGCCTCCTTATTTTCCTGGCATTTGTCTTTGCTTTTTGAAAAGCAATAAAATTACTAGCAGTGGGAAATCTGAAAATCCCCCATGCTTTCTTTTGTTTTTTAAATGCTGCCTCGCAATTCTGATTCCACCATGGTTTCGAATGCTTTGGATATCTGGCTGATGTTTTCCCCATTGTTTTTTCAGCTGCCTGAATATTACTGGAAGTGACAACTTCAACTGCATCATTGATATCAGCAGTATTGACCGAAATCACAATGATGTTAGCCATAGAGGAGAATGCAAGCCAATCTGCTGTTTCAAATTTCCAGCGTGTTGGACAAGCTGTTTCAAAGCTTACTCTGCCTCAATATTTTAAAAATATTGGGAAGTGGTCACTGGAAAGTGGATTAGATCCAACCTCCCATGTAAATGCTAAAAACAGGTTTGGACTTGCTAGTGATAAATCAATGGCAGTGAATGTTCTTGTTGGGGCATGGAAGTATGTCACTCCTCCAGTATTAAATAAAATAAATTTGACAATTTCCTATGAATCTTTCGATGGCTCTGCCTCGACAGTTGATATCGTGACTGTCCCACATTGGATTATGGCAATTGAAATCGCAAAGTAAAAGGAATGGAAATGGCAGCTGTTCAACTAATGCATCCTATTCATCTTCATTGACTCTGACATCTGGTTGCAAGTATATAGAACAAACTGTGACAGTTACTCCAATAGAAATTCTGACTGTCACAGCTTGCAAATTAGTGGTTATTTGTACCAATATGGATGGGATGCAATTTGAAACCAGTATAGCCACACCTGCACTGGCGCTGTTGTAGCTATCATTATCCTTATGGTAAAGATTGAATCCTTTTAAAAAATTCTTTCTCCAGGTTTTAGAAGTGTTTTCTGGAGTGCCACGCAGAAAGATGAGATAGATGATGTCAAGTGTTTAATGTCAGAGAAGTTGTTGCAGAAACCACGACAGTTCCATTAGATTATTTTGTAATCCATTATGTGTTTGAGGCGGCATTTTTTGCAAGGGTATCCCTCTTTAATTTCACAGGGGGTTTTCCATATTATTCTCTTCATCAGAGACGTCTGAGAACTCACTCATAGACTGAGTTTCTGATTTTTTTAGATATAGAGAGGACTGATTTTAATATTTGTTTGTTGAGCAGGTTCTTCTTTGCTTTCGTTGAACCCATATTTATGGTTACTACCCCTGCTTTAGATAGGGGTGTTTTTGTCTTGATTCTCTCCTTTGCATTTGTTTCTTTAGATTGAGTTAGCAAACATTTAGCATGGCAAGTGAGAAATTCCTTTCGAGAAACAAATATCTGTTTGAACTCCACATATCTTTGTGCATTTCAAAACAGCTGCAAATGTCTTTTGTTTCAATGGTGCACTTGAAGTGACCATGCGCTAAGCCTCTGGGTAAGATAAGTTGTTAACTGTTTTTATGCATTGGATTTGTTTCTCTCTCTCCCATACAGGGCATTTCCTGGAGTAGGTAGGATGGACATCTTTGCAATTCACACAGCATAGAGTATTGGTACACTCAGTACTCTGGTGACTTTCAATTCCATACTGTGTGCATACACTTATCCCTCGGCAGGATGCTTGTGAATGTACAAACCGTTTGCATTCAAAGCAGTGCAGCAGATTTGTAATGTACAGCTGAACAGCACAGATATCTTGCTATGATAACAGATGGCAATGTCAGCTTGTCAAATGTGAGAATTAGATGTTTGGTTGGTATCAACTTGCCATCTTGACAAATGGAGATGCATCAGAGAGCAGTGACGCCTTAATCTGAAAGGCAATCTGAATACCTGATTCATCTTCTGACATCAGATCTGTCTCAGATATCACACCATGTGATGAGTTTAAACTTTCATGTGGTGTGACCAAAATTCCCATATCTCCATGGCTCTCCATTGCCAAAAGCTTTGCTGATTGTTGAGGTAAAGCTGTTTCTATAAGCAAGTCCCGACCTCAATTTCTGTATTTTTTTTTCATATTCCTACTAGTTAATTCAAATAGCTTTTAATCAGAAAAGGAAAGCCTTTGGACAGTGGTTTATCTCCAGTAGCATGTACTATCAGGTAGGCTGTCTGATTAGAAATGTTGTTGTTTGTAGGTGATTGCTCTGTATGCAGACATTTTGTATTTT